ACGTTCAATTAATCATGGATGTGTAAGGTATTGAAGCGCTGCAAACAGAGTCCATGTCAGCATACTCTGCACAGGTCCTAGAAAAAATAATGAGCATGGGAATTAATACGGGAATATATTCATTTGTATTCAAATAATATATTTACATGTGCTGATATATATTTACATACATACACACATTCATCATCAAATTTTAACAAAAGTCCTCACCTGAACTGGCAGCTCCTTTGGTGATGCTAGTGTAGTGTATTTCCGTGGGGAAAGACACAAGCGACACAGCCGTTGTCTTGTATACTAGACCACCGACATCGGCCAAACACGTGAGGTTCAATCTGCGTGTTTGTGGGGCTGATCCCGGGAACGACACAGCATGGCTTGCAGGAGAGTATTCGGACGACTCCGACCCACCTGGCATGTAATAGGACGACCCATCCGTCATCTGCCCTGGAGAACTACTTCCGATGTCGTTCATGAGGATTTCCTGATTCGAGTTCGCAACGAAAATCCTCGGGGACTGATAGGTCGGATCACCGTCGTATGTCCCGGAGTCTGCGTTGTAGTAGGAACGGCGGTCGTCGTAAGGGAAGAACTTGAGGATGTTTCTCGGCGTGAGTGGGATGGAGAGCGACGAGGACGAGTTCCAGGTTTCCCCCCTCCGGTCGTAGCGAGGGGTGTCCTCCGTGACCCAGGGCTCCTCGTGCTGAAAGGGAGGGGGCCTTCAGCAGTAAAGGATGGGGCCTTCAGTAGTTGTGGCTGTCGTTGCTACTGGTATGGCTTCTGTTATTGTTGCTGCTGCTTCTACATTAACCTTTACCTCTGTTGCTGCTGCTACTACTACTGCCGCACCCGCTATTACTATTTCTACAACCATTGCTTCAATTTTTACAACTGCTGCTATTGCTATTACTACTGTACTACTGCTACTGCTGTTACAGCTGGATTCTTTCTGAGTATAGAGTATGTTCGTCTGCATTTCGCTCCTGATTTGCTGCTAACATTTATGCCAGTGACATGGAGCGAAAGTGTCCGAACATCCAGATGGAAAAGAATGTGTTCAGAAGTCTCGAGCATTTTGGCTGACTAGCGGCCCTGCCTCGATGGTTTGCGTTTAAGCGGTCAGATGGGGGCTGTGCTTCCGGTTTTTGTACTTCGGCTGTTACATTTGGCACTCAAAAATTTCTGCGACTACTACAACTATGTTTACTTCTACTGTATTACTGGAGTTGCTGCTGTTATGACGGATACTGCAGCTAGTTTATATTACTACTGTTGACTTGATATTCAGTACGAAAATGTCGGTTATAATGATAATGAATAAAATTAACAATGGTAATGTTAGCGAATGCCAGTGTCATTGAGAGTGACAATAGTAATAACCACTACTATTGGCGCAGTGATAATGACAATAATAATATCAGTAACGACATTAATGGTAACATCAATCATCACCATTATTCAAAATCATAATGGCAATAATAATAAAAAAGAACATCTAATCTTTGTTCTCATCATTATGGCATCATCACCTACACCACTACCAAATACTTTACAACTATTACGCCACTCAATAACCAAAGCGCAACCACACCAATTACCAAAAACGTTTCTCCGTTGAGCAGGAACGTGAAGGCGGCGGGAGGTCTCGAGCCCGTCACGTGACACCGAGCTCGCAGGTGTTGGTGCACGTGGTACACACTCAGCACGCCAGTCCACGTTGGTCCTGACACAGGTAACTCTGGGAGGAGAGTGGTGGCAAATGAGGTCGTGTTTGGGTGGACTTTTTGTTTTTCATTTTCTCTTCTCTCTCTCTCTCTCTCTCTCTCTCTCTCTCTCTCTCTCTCTCTCTCTCTCTCTCTCTCTCTCTCTCTCTCTCTCTCTCTCTCTCTCTCTCTCTCTCTCTTTCTCGCTTTCTCTATGTTATTTATTTATTTATTGTAATTGCAGTAGTTTTACTCTAGTTTGCTTAGTGTGTAAGAGTCAACATGGGTTAGCTGCCAACTTTGCAGAAAGAATGGAATTGAGAGAAGATGCTACTGAAGTAAAACAAAAAATTGAATAGAGATCAATGCTAGTTTATAAAAGCATATGTATACTACATCTGGCCTTTTCTGTAGAATTTCCAAGTGGTGCTAAATTCGCCACCAGAAATTTCTTTCTAAACTAGATAAAAAAGATCCTACTGCTTTTACAAACAATCATCTTGCAAAATGTATTATTGTGCGGCTACCAGATTTTCTGTAGTAACTTTAGTTGGTCTGAACTATTTCATTACAAAAAAAAGGTTTCATTGAAAAGTTTATTTTTTTTTCCTTTTTTACATGCAATCTGCAACTTCGAATTTTCCATTCGAAAATTGTCTCTAGATAAGCTATTCATTTTTGCAATATTTACTATTAATTGCATGTCAAACTTTACACAAGTAAGGGCAATAAATCTCACAACAGTTCCATCGAAAAAGCTGTTAAGTACAAAATTGTACAAAAAAGCTGTTAAGTACAAAATTGAAAAATAAAATGCTGTTAAGTACAAAGTTGCCGGTAAACTGTTTACCGGCAACTTTGGTAACCGACGAATGCTATCAAAATCTGCCACATCAATATTACCAAAGAGTATTACCAATGACGGAGAGATGAGCCGACCTCGCGCTGGACAGGAAGTCGGGAGCGTCACTCATGGCCTCGCAGGTGTAGGTCCCCGAAGTGGCCGCCGTGACGTTGGCCAGACTCAGCACGGTCTCGTCCGACATGCTGAGCTGGGAACCGCGGGGGATTCTGAGAAACTGATCTGATAGAGCCGGGAGGATGGACGCTACAGATTCAATACACACACACATATGAATAAATAGACAAGTATATGTATATATATATATATATATATATATATATATATATGTATATATATATATATATATATATATATATATATATATGTGTGTGTGTGTGTGTGTGTGTGTGTGTGGTGTGTGTATGTGTGTGTGAGTGTGTGTGTGTGTGGTGTGTATGTGTGTGTGTTGTGTCATATATACACATACGCATGTATACACACACACACACACACACACACACACACCACATATATATATATGTATATTATATATATATATATGGGTGGTGTATATATGCATACATACACACATACATATATAGATGTGTGTGTGTCTATGTGATCATTTATAGATTTATTTCCAACACCTTCCTTCCAACCCACTCCCCAACACCCCCGCACCCGCTGTCCCATGCAACCAGACCGAGCACGAGCGCCACCTACGAGCACATGAACCCCCGGCGTCGGAAACACAGCCTGGTGGGGTCTCGGCCTCACAGTCACCACGTAGAACTGCTGTCCGTCTTTGCACCAGCGGAGTGAGTACAAGGGCGGCCCACTCCCGGCGGACCAGACGCACTCCAGCCTTGCGATGTGGCCCGCGACGGTCGGAGTCGGTATCCTCACCTTCTGTACGATTACTCCTGCTCCTGGTAGAGGCGGAGGGATTGGGAAATAGTAGTGTCTTGTTATGTTATTGGGATGTTTATATGTGGATGGGTATGTTGACTGATAAGCTTGGATTTCGAATTAGTGGAAAGGATGTATTATAGAATCAGTGGACTCTTATAGGTGACGCTATTCGCATATGTCCCTTACACGCGCAGGTAGATGGTCAGATATGAGATACGCAGATAATCACAAAATAACCTAGATCTATATCGCCTTTGGTACCCTTGACTTACCCAGATGGAAGAGCAGCAGCATCCACAACACCAGCATCTTGGGTTTTCCTCCATAACTCGCCACAGAGCAGATTCTCCGCGTGTCTCTCCGTCACGGCATTTCCAGATTGACTAAAACGACGAAAATCCGGATCTGCAGTTTGAGAGCTTGCTCTTCAGGTGCCATGTCGTTACTTTACTATGTGTATTTTGTGTCAAAAGAAAATAAGGAAGAAAATATGTCGAAGATTGAAACTGGATTCCCCTTCTTTTTGCAATGTATTTGTTTTCGACATTTATTTTCCATTTTCTTTATTGTTACAGTCTTTATACAATTCGTCACGAGATGATATTATTCTCGCAGAGACGAGTAAAATTCCTTAGGACAGGTCGAGTTAGTATGGTAAGGCGGCGGCGAGAACCTTTCCTGCCTCGTGTGGGAACCTCTTCCTCAAACGTGTCACCTGATGCCACCTTTCTTCACCCTCTTTCTCCGTCTCCGTCTCTGTTTTCCTCTTTCGCTCTGTCGCTCCTCTCGCTCTCTCGCCTTTCTGCCTTTTTTTCTTTCTTTTCTCTATTTTTTCCCTCTCTCTCTCTCTCTCTCTCTCTCTCACTCTCTCTCTCTCTCTCTCTCCTCTCTCTCCTCTCTCTCTCGAGTGCATCATCATCTTTTCTCTCTCTCTCTCTCTATCATCTATCTATCTACTCTCCACTCTCTCTATCTCTCTCTCTCTCCTCTTCCCTCTCTCTCTCTCCTCTCTCCCCTCCTCCTCCTTTTCTTTAGCCCCTTATACTATTCGGATATTATAACATAATAGTAAATAAGAAATTATATATATATATACATACATTACATACTACAATATATATATATAAATAATATATTACTATAAACAGTACTAATACATACATACATATATTAGTATATATATATATATATATATATGTAATGATATATATATAATGTAATATATATATAGATATATATATATAATATAATATATTTAATGATATCATGTATGTCTGTGCCTGTGTATAATGTATATATTTAGATAATATATATAGGGTATACATACTTATATATATCATACATAAATATATATACATATATATAGTATATAGTATATATATATATAATGTAATAGCATATACTATATATATTATACATTTACTATAGATGACATGCACCTAATACACAGAATAAATATACTGCATAACCGCACACACACACACATATAAACATAATATATATATGCTATGCTATATATATAATATAAATATTATATTATATAT